TCTTCTGCAATTTTCTTTAGGGGTCTGCAATATTTATTATATTATAATAATATTATTATATTTTTAAGATTTTAGTCTTGTGCGAAATCATCAGTGTGTTCGTTCCACTTTCTCTTCATGAGTTTCCGTGGTTGTACATGTTCCTCTTGAGAGAGCATGGCCAGTGAGTAAACTCCAGAACTGGACCGACCAATGGTGTGACCTCATCAATAACTCGGCCAGGGACCGACTTCATTGTGTGTTTATGGCCCGTTTACTGCAGCCCAGCAGAAGAAATAGACTTTTAACCTATTTAGTGGGACATTATAATAACTCCAAATATATCAATTCAATAACTGTATCTTAATGAAATGAATACGTTATTAATCTGATCATGGATGAGACTAATGCGATTGTGATTTCTGTTCTCTGCAGGAAGACCCGCCACGTCAACATCCTGCTGTTCATGGGCTACATGACGAAGCCCAACTTTGCCATCATCACACAGTGGTGTGAAGGCAGCAGCTTGTACCGCCATCTGCACGTCACAGAAACCAAGTTTGACACGATGCGGCGCATTGATGTGGCCAGACAGACGGCACAGGGCATGGAGTAAGACCTGCTGCTACATTCCATCTTAATCACCAGACACCAAGTGTCAAGTAGATGCTGTGTTTGTTCCCGTACACAACTTTGTGTACTTTGTATTTAATGGAAGCTAGTTTGGTAGAGAAATGAGTCCATGAGATGCATCATATTAACTTTTCATGAACCGTCCTAATGGGATTGAATTAGTTTAAATGTTGTTGAGTGTGTTTCAGCTCTGGTCTGAACAGTGAACAGTGTGATCTGATGGTGTCAGTCGTAGTGCAGGACTGGTAGAAGTGCAGGCTGTTCATACTGCAGGAGAACCCCTGACTAATGGCTTAATGTTGTGCAGGATGCAATATAACATATTAATAGCCTTATACAGATGAAATCACTCATGTTCTTTCCCCCTTTCAGTTATCTTCATGCGAAGAACATAATTCATCGAGACCTGAAATCAAACAGTATCCTTTTCTTGTCGAGTGGTAACATTTAACAATGTAGGTGTTTGTGCTTCGATCACCTGGAACTCAACCAACAACATGTTCTGTAGCTAGCAAACGTTGAACCTCAAACCTGAATCATAATCTTAAACAGGCAGACATGTCAAGAACAGTCAAAGTATCGGGGCGGTTATACATTCACTATATTTATTTCTTCTGTACACTGGTGCGTTGGCTTTGAGATGAAGCAATGCCTTGGATGTGAAAGGGTGTCGGTGTCAAACAATGGGCCTCGTGCAGGAACACGTCGTAGGAACAGATTCGTTCATAAGTTGTGAGAACTTCTCTTTCTGAGTGGCCCAGACCTGTTGAGAGACTTGTGTACTAGTAGTCTGCTGTTATCTGAGCCCACGTTCTCCCTCTAATGGATTGATATGTAATGATCGTATTTTCATCACTTTGAAGTCATTTTCAGTTTGAAAACCCCGACCTATGACTCTGCACTTTGAGTTCTAGGCTAATGTAATTCTAAATGTATTCACGTTCGCTAAACCTCAAGAACTTGTCTTCAGTTGGTGCTTTCAACAGCTCTCACTTTCTGTGCTCGTTTGTGGTAACATGAATATGTACATCAGATCTTTGGAGTCATGTTTCCTCAGCTTTGCCGCTAGATATTTTTCTCCACGAGGGCTGGACTGTGAAGATCGGTGACTTCGGCTTGGCCACGGTGAAGTCTCGGTGGAGCGGCTCTCAGCAGGTGGAACAGCCCAGCGGATCCATTCTGTGGATGGTAAGCCTCTTACTGTGACTTGATGGAGGGACGTCCACTAACATGACTGTGATAAGTACAAAACTATGATATTAACGAATACATTGGGAGCCATTAGACAACCAAACATTTAAAGTACAGAGCGGTGAACTCAACTTCAGTATGAATGAAAAGTACTTCATGTTTGCATAGACACAATATATTTATTTAAGACCTAACGGCTGAATGAATGTTTGATTCCTCACGTCATTACACAAATGAACTGCTCACCTTTTGTCTTGTGCTCGTGTGTCCCCGAGGCTCCTGAAGTGATCCGAATGCAGGACAGCAACCCGTACACGTTCCAGTCCGATGTGTACGGCTACGGAGTCGTGCTGTTTGAGCTGATGTCGGGGACTCTGCCTTACTCCAATATCAACAACAGAGACCAGGTGACATGACTCTACTGCTCTTTGGGTTCACACAACACTAGTCCGGCTTAGCAAGAGAGCTCATCAGGAAAGGTCTGGAGCCGCACTTTATCATTGTGCTTTCAGGAACGGTCGCTCTGGCGTGTTTGTGTTGTTTTAAACCAATCGCAGTCGCATTAAGCTGCGCCAAGCACAGGATGCAGAGACGATGAGAATACACTTAACTTTCCAATCATGTGGAGCAGCTGGCGGTCCAATCGTACCAGTCTACTGAGTTGTGTGTGTGTGTGTGTGTGTGTGTGTGTGAGAGAGAGTTACATGCCTACTGCTAACAAACAACCAGACGCTACTTGTCTACAGCCACGAGTTCCTATAGACTCAGCATGTGATGCAGTTTGACACACGGGTGTCTTTTTATTGCACACCAGAAAGCAATTAGTTTGAAGGATGTAAAAAGGAGGAGTGGGCACGAGGGTGGCACAGAAGCAAGAATCTCACCCGCCACCCGAAGATTGTATCCTCAATTCATCTAATTGTTTAATATAAAAAAGGTCCAAAAGTTGTGAATCGGTGCAACACAAAGCCCGAGGTGTCGTCTTTCAAAATATTCAGTTAACAATGATGTGAAACAGAGAAAAGCAGCAAATCCTCCCAATGGAAGAGGGACAACAAGTGGACATTTTACCTTAAAGAAATGCTGAGTCGATTTATTATCGATTCTTTTTCTGTCGAGTTACTCTTTGTTTCATCTTCCATGCTTCATCACTATCTACAGCAAATGCCATGGTAATCTGTCATTTGTAGTTTTTGAGGCGTCTCGTCTTTAACTCGTCTTTACGGGCGACTGTGGCTCAGTGGTGGACCACGGTCGCCCCTCAGTCAGAGGATCGACGGGTCCATCTAGTTCATGTCGATGTGTCCTGCAGTGTGGACCACAGTGTTCACTAAGTGACCAACAGATGGAGCAGGACTTGACATTAATGCTCGCCTGCTCGCCAATCCCTAAAACTGCAACACTGTGAACCACACATCTGTAGAAATCAGCTCGAGGAGAGTTAGCGCTGGTTAGCGTGAGCTAAATAACAGAGCTAACAGCATAGCAACATTTGGCGTTGGTCTTGTTGTATTGTAATTTATTGCCATGCATGCTGATCAGAAATACTAAGTGTATTTACTGTAGCTTAGGTTTATGTCACTATCACTGTTTCCCTACATGAACAGCACTCTCAGATTTAACTCACGGTTTCCTCTGGTGGTGTTCTCAGATAATCTTCATGGTTGGACGTGGTTACTTGTCTCCAGACCTCAGTAAGATGTATAGTACCTCACCCAAGTCAATGAAAAGGCTCATCATTGACTGTCAGAAGTTCATACGGGACGAGAGGCCTCTGTTTCCACAGGTGAGTCGTGTAATAGCTTCCCACAAGAAACCAGGAGAGCATAATGTAACAGTTTGGTACATAGTATAGTAAGTTATTATATTTTGAGGAAATGATTACATTATAATCTCCTCGTCTTCTTTAAGTTTAGGACCTCTTCTAGTTTTACAGGACACTGTGGAGTCCTTCATTTAAAGCAGCTGGACTCTCTCCGTCTGCTCTAGACCACATCTTCATCACTCACTCCCAAATTGATCAAATCTTCAATGTGTGACAAAGTTCACGACTACAAGATATCTACAATATATATCTAGTGACCTGACGACAGAGAACCTTTACAGAGATGATGCTGGATTTACAATGCTGGATGAATCTTCACATGTGGAATAATTGCTCCTTACATATTTATTCAGTTACTGTAACACAGGGTTTAATTAGTCTCTAAACACGCCCTGCATGCACATAAGAGCCCTGCGTGCATGTGTGATACAGGCACACAGATCGGTATCTGACGGGCCCGTGCCTCACGCTCCCTACGTGCTCAACACTGCTCACCTGTGGAGTCGACTCCTTGCTGAGTTCTCTGTTGTCCAGGTCATTGGATATCCTGTAGTCACATTCAAGAGACAAGTTGCTTCACGCTAAGGACTCCACTGGTGCCGCGTAGCAATAGAACCATTCTTCTGCTTTAGGACAGTACTCTGTTTTTATAATGTAATAATTATCTCATGATGTAATAACTTATTACATCATGAGATAATTATTACGTCATGCACTCGTGTTTTTCTTACATTATGTGCTGATTATCACATTTTGAGCTATACTACATTATACACAGTTATGACATTATCAGTTCACAGTTTATGTCCCAGAAGGTATCCCATGAAATCAGCACCGTATTCTCATCTACTATGAACTGAGGTAGCAGTGGAACCACCTTTCTGTCATCGTCCTCCGCCTAACTAATCCCGCCTCACATTTGGTTTTCCTTCATCAGATCCTCGTGTCCATCGAGCAGGTTCAAGACCTGCTGCCAAAAATCGAGCGGAGTCGCTCGGAGCCGTCACTCCATCGGGCCGTCCATGCCGAGGACCTGAACCCCCTTCTGTTCCACACCACCAGGCTGATGCCCCTCTAGGCTTCGCACAGCAGGGGCAGAGAGGTCTTCTCCCTGAAGAGAAGCCCGCAGCATTCCCGTGCCACAGGGGGGCCACAGGCCCACTGTCCTGGCAGACCACGACCCCGCCCACTCCCCGCAGCGCTCAGTAACTGTAGAAATAACTGTACGACATTTAGTCTGATCATGAATCATAGAGACAGAGATCTGCTCGTTAGGTGAAATACTTGTCTCCTGTTTCTAGAAGGATGTTAAAATGCCTTTGATCGTTACGCACTCTGACCTGCTCCGAGGTGTTTTCACTTGTTTTGAGGAAAAGGTTAAAACTGATGTTTTGCACATAGCCTGCAAAATTGTGTTGCTCATTTTCAGCAGTAGAATAGTCTGTCAGTCCATTTGAGGAGCACTGTAATCATAGCCAAAATATTTAAATCCGTTCAACAGCCATAATGCTGGAGCGTCTGGTTCAGGTCACCTGATCAGCTTACATGTTGCAGATGCTCACTCGTCATGAGCCCCTTCAGTGCGTGTGATGGGACATCTCGCATGTGAAGCTGGTGATTTAGTCTGGATGGGCACCTCCACTCGTCTCTGCTAATATTTCCCAGCTATAATTAGTTTTACTGAAGCACAACACGTCAACGTTGGAGTTCCCTTGTTCCCTTGGTGAAAGCTCCTCTGCACACTAGGGCTGTATCGAGGCTTCAGTCATAATGTAGACGTTGGAATTGGAATGCTTGTTACAGCAAATCACAATGACTCGTCATTGTGATTCCAAAATAAAAGATCTCAAGATTTTCCCAAGTATTTTATTTTTGCCAGTTCAGAGAAAACCCCTTAATGCATCACAGGCCACCAACACCCAGCAGAACATTAACAATCAGTTCTGATGCAGATCAGAAACATGTATATAGTGTATGAAGAGGCTTCAGGTTAAGGGCTCTCAGTAGCACTGCTCAATCTACAGAAACTACTTTAACATTTAAATCTGTTGGTTAACACAGCACACCGTCAACTGCAAGGTACTCCCAACGCTTTGTACTCCACTCATTCCTCTCTAGACTCTTACCACAATGTCATCAGGCTCCAGATCACAGGGTTGCACACACACACACACTTATATATGTATATACATTTATTTTCAGCCTAGTGTGTAATTGACAGCCCACAGTGAGTTGTAGTCTTAATGTAAGTGGTTAGTTGTATTGCTGCTACACATAGTGTGTTTTCTGTTCACTTTATTGCTACCGCTCAGAGATGAGACAGACAGACGGACTGTCCCACGGCACGCAGCTCAGCAGCAGTCCAGTCTTCCTGCTGTCAAACACTACACTGTGGATTAGCCACCGAGTGATAGTTCACAGTTCCATGCCCACACACACACACATTCATCTGGTACTGTAGCAGCTGGGGATGCATGAACACTGTGAGCTACTCCAGTCCAGAGGCCTGTGTGAGAAGTGTGATTACTTCTTCAGGCTGCTCCCAATGAACTGGAATGTGTGTGGAGGTGGAACATGATAAAAACTGTCTGACTTCCCCAGAATCCGGGGTCCGAGTTTCAGAAGCTCTAGATGAGTGGGCAGGCTTTTGGTTTGACACATAATGAAGCAAATCATTCATTTGGTTCTGTGTTCATGTGCTCATGCAGCTAGCTGGTAGGTTGAGCAGCATGAGTGAGTCTGTGTTTAGCATCAACTCCAGTGAGTAATGCGAGCCTTGTCTCATGGTTGGATTTCAGATGTCTTGTTCTGTAGAGGACTTGCTGTCATTGTTAACTTCAACATGTGTTATCTGGCAGGCCGAGCTGTTCAGGAAGCTTAGTTAGATTAGTAAAGGAAGGTACGTGGATGCGTATGGCTTTAGTTTTAAGACAGTGTTCTTGTCCGTCTGTATACTGCTCGTCTTTCCTGCTTCACCTCTGCAGGAGCATGAAAGGACAAAGCGTGACCTGGTGATCTCTGGCTGAGGCCTGTAACTAGCTGCTGTTACCTCATGACTTACGTGGTGAATGGACTCAGTGAGGCAGACACTTCATTCATCCCATGCTCAGGTGAACACTGCTTCAGTGGATGTAGGTTCACTTCAGATTGAAGGCAGAGAACAAGCTGCCTTGTGTAACAATCAGCTGTGGTTAAAAGAACGGCCCCAGCTGCATGAAGAGCTCCTGAGTACTGACGGTGGCGCTCTGCTCTGTGAGCACAGGTTGACGTTGAGCAGGGGTCAGGGGTCAGCCAACACTGCTCTGGCCCTCAGGCTGCTGGAGGACAGGGACACAGTCCTTTATGAAGCACTGCTCCTGTTCAGAACAGAACCAATCATGGGATTTAATTCATCACAGCGAGTAAAGAGTAGTTGTGTTTTATTTTAATTTATTTTATTTCATGGATTACAAACTGATCCAAAGTGGACTTGGCAGAGACTCGGTGCTGGTCTCCTTTACTTGAACCAGCTGCTTCCTCTGATCTGTGACGCTAGTGGAAGGTTCTAGACTTCCTGGCCGCTTTTCTCTGGTCTAGGTTTTTGGTTTCTTATAATATTGACATAACTGAAGTCAGATTGTTATTGCTCTCCGGTTGAGAACAGGTTCCTGTCTGATGGGCAGTTCATTCTCCTGTGCTGGTGTCCAGCATTAAACTCCACTTGGTCCACAGCAGCAGCTAGATGGTACTCTGTGTTCCTCTGTTCATCAGAACCTCCTCTTGGCCTGATGTGTTTGGTGTAAACGGCTGCAGAGTGAAGGCAGAGCGACCTCTCTTCACATCGTCTGGACTCTTTCAGGGTTTTTATCGGCTCGTTGCAGCTCGTGCACATTTTATTCTCGATTGTTAATGTTTCCAGAGCTCTTCTTCCTGGATTTAGGACTAACGCGCTTCTTCTCCTCATGAATGTAGGTCGCCTGCTAGTTCCTTCAACAGTGGTTCTTACTTTTTTAGGATGTGATCAATAGAGTTCACTGCTTCCTGGCGGAGTTGGTAATCATGGAAGTATTTGCTGAGTGTACTACTGAGTCGTCTGGTTTTTAGTGTCACACTTGTACGTGGACTAGCAGCAGCTGTGAGGGTGGTGTCTGGTGTTCTGTGAACTGGCCTCGCTTCTCTCAATATCGTATGTGTCCGTTATCAATGAACTGACAGCAGATCAGACATTTATGTTTCAATGTTGTGAAGATAGGGGCTGGGTACCCTTACTGTTCTTACTCATTCCAGTTCTATCGGGGGTCGTGGTTTTACCGGCGGGGTCAGGGTTTTGTGAACCAGGGTTGGGAGAGACTTTGTTTCTGTCTTTCTCTTATTTATTGATGTCTTTGCAGATGTTTACAGAGAGACATCACTCTGCAACATTCAGGTTGTGTCCGGGCTCTCCCTCTCTCTCTCTCTCTCTCT